TCTCTCTGTAGCCGCTGCTCTAATAAATCTCTTGGCCTCAAAGGGTGTTGAGTCTTGCTGGCGCCACCGTCCTTCAAATAATACTACAGAAAGTTTTTAAAAATATGTTTAAGTGTGGGCACATAGAGTAAGAGGCATCTCACAGGGGCCTAGAAGAAGCAGTAACACCTGGTAAAAACTTGAACACAGGGAAAGAGAGAGGAAGTTCAGGGTCAAAACAGCAGTAAGATCAACAGCTCCACATCTATTCTTTCCACCTTTAGTCTGTTTATGTTGATCAACTCAAATGATACTGCCAGAGTCAACATCCAGAAGTACATCTCTGATGTGTCCTTCTCTGTTGATATTGAAACCACACAAGGCGGTAGAATCCTGGATCCCTGAGTCATCACTGGGAGGCAAGTTGCCCAGGAGAATTGCCCAAGCTCTCCCTTGGACTTGGGCCCTACTGAGCTAAGCCACTGAATGGTTTGTTACAACAGTTAAAGTTAATCGCCCTGACAAACAGTTAACATTAATTAGCTGACTAATGCAGAAGGCTTGGCAAGGTAATGTAATTTGCCCAAGATCTCAGCATCCATTTGGATGCAACTATCTATGTGCATGATAATGGGAAGGTCGGGCAGCACTGTTCAATATCAGGGTAGGGTGTGTGGGTGACACTGACCATCCCAGCTCCCACCTCTCCACAGTCTGTCCTGCCCTGATGCACCTCAGATGGGGCCATCTCAGGGTCTCATAATCAGAACACTGGGGCACTGACTTCCTTCCTCTGGGTCCAGAACTCGGAGGCTTTTTTGAGGCAGGTGTGAGCATCCTTAGGAGAAGTGTGCATCCCACCACAGGGATGGGAGGGTACCAATAGCCAGGCCTTGGGCAGACCTGAGGAGACTTATGGGGGCACTATGGCATCATACCTGTAATATACAGGGGCTTACACTGACGCCCTAACTTCCACCAGTTGGGCTCTCTCCACAGCCTCTTATTCCTTCTTCTTGAACTTATTCTACATATGACACACACAGAATTAAAAAAAAAAAAATTAGCCCTATATAACAGACCTAAACTGCAAGGTCAGAAAAAATAGACTGCAGGGATGGGAGAGAGAATTCTAACAAAAAAGGCATGTCAAGTGCTGCTGCCTCTACTCTGCCAGGAGCTCATAAAAAGTTGTACAATAAATAAATAAAGATTCCAACAGAAGAAAAAGGCAACATCTAGAAAGATGAGGTGTGCAAGTGCAAATACAATAACCACAAAAGCAGGGGGAAATGTTCAAGGTAATTCACAACCAAAGAGAGGCAAATGGAAACAGCATTGAAGGACCATTTAATGCCTCTTCAATTGGAAACAGATGGAGAAGTCATACATAAGGCTGCCCCAGTTGCAGGGAAACCCATGGTTGTACTTCCCTGCTCACACATAAATAAATTGATTCAATAAGTTTTTGGAAAGAACTTGACGATACATATGAAGCTTATGAA